GCAGGCCTGTGGAGCGATATTTTCTCTCTAGTTTCCTAGCATTTTGCTTCAAAGTGCGCAGCTCTGCATTAAACCAAGGAGCAAGCTTTCTATTTTTAACGGTTTTCATTTTCAAATAGTCCAATCAGGGCTAACAGACGCAGGAAACAACAATGGAGGTTGAGGCACATCACATTGCTAAGCAGAATCATCACTGGGAATGAGGGAGGGAAGCTAGTGTTTTAATCAATGTCTGAAATTTCATGATTACGGAGGCCGTAAGGAGAGACGCGGTCTGCTCATGCGCTCTTTGTTATCTGAGAACTGAGCCAGAACTGAACCACACTGATCCCTACTGATGAACTGGTTCCAGTTTAACACAGTTCGGTTGTGTCTGGCTCGGTCCAGTTCAGTATTGCGTGCCATTTACACTCAACAGTGATCTCGGGTTACCTTGCTCAGACCGATCTCAGTACGGTTTCAAAAGGTTAGTGTAAATGGGGCTTATGTCTCTCAGCTGGCCTGGGAGCACTTCAGGCTTCCCCAAGCAGAGATGGAGAAGGTGTCTGCTGAAAGGAAAGTCTGGAAGTCTCTGCTGAGACTGCTGCCCCCGCAACCCCGTCCCCGATGAAGCAAAAAACGACAATGCCGATTTGCACAATCTTTCTTTTCAAATATGTTAATAAAATATGTAAAACCTTTACAGGCAGCGGAGTCTCATTGCTTTTTCAACACAAAGTTAGTGAAACAAATATTTCCAGAAGGTTATATTTATATAGTTACTTAGATCCAGTGGCAAGACATGAACCCCTAACTCTGTACAAACTTGTCCTCTGAATGCAGCCCACAGAAAATAAGATTAGAACAAGGTAACTTGTTTGCATACCACAGGTTACACTTTAAAATAAAGTGTGGATAAACATTTCTTTTATAGAGAGTAAAAATATAACAAGTAGTGAAGAATACACATGAAAAAGTAACAGAAAATAATATTTTTTCTCAAAATTAAGTAAATCTAAGGAATTGCATATAAACCTTAACTCTATACCTCTTGTTCTGCATCTGCTGCTCTGAATCCATGCAGGTATCTATTGATGGCCATGACATCCGCTCTCTTAACGTGCGCTACCTCAGGGAACTGATAGGGGTGGTGAGCCAGGAGCCCATCCTTTTCGCCACCACCATCTCCGAGAACATCCGCTACGGCAGACCTGACGTGACACAAGAGGAGATTGAAACTGCTACCAAGGAGGCCAACGCTTACGACTTCATCATGAACCTTCCTGATGTAAACTCAGACTTTTGCTACCATTTCAGCCACATTAGTAATTAACTAGAAATATTATTTTGGTCTAATGTGGTGACCTTACCATTCTGAGCAGAAATTTGAGACACTTGTTGGTGACAGAGGAACTCAGATGAGCGGAGGCCAGAAGCAGAGGATTGCAATTGCTAGAGCATTGGTCCGCAAACCCAAAATCCTTTTATTGGATGAAGCCACGTCTGCACTGGATGCTGAGAGTGAGACCATTGTGCAAGCTGCGCTGGATAAGGTACGGTTCCAGGCAAAAGATGGAGTGACTGTTGAAAGTTCTATGGATATTTGTATCTTCCATAGTAAAACAATGTTTGTACACCTGCATTTTTCCACAAACTAATACAACTGGGTTGCACAGGTGCGTCTGGGTCGTACCACTCTGGTTGTGGCTCACCGCCTCTCCACAATCAGAAATGCTGATGTGATTGCAGGCTTCCAGAAAGGTAAAGTTGTAGAACTGGGCACTCACAGTGAGTTGATGGACAAAAAAGGAGTCTACCACACGCTGGTCACCATGCAGGTATACATACATATGGATACATATGTCTCCAGATCGGGTGTTAGAAGGGCTGTCTTTTATTAATTAAACCCCCGTGGGTTCCACTTTTCCTCTCTCCAGACCTTCCAGAAAGCGGAGGAGGGGGAAGATGAGGACGAGCTGTCAGCAGGTGAAAAAAGTCCCATTAAAGACATCATGGAGTCTCCTCTGCTGAGGAGGAAATCTACAAGAGGCTCTTCATTCGCTGCTTCGACTGGAGAGAAGGGAGAGAAAAAGCTAAAGGATGAGGAGGACAATTTGGACGAGGTGACGTTTTAGGTTACGTTTCTAGAGTAATATTTTATTTGTTGATTTGAAAAACGGGGAAAAAATTACAAATCTTTATGAAACTCTTGATACTTAGAAGACATAAAAGCTAACACGTCCTGAATAGGGTTGTCAAAAGTATCGATACTCAAAAAAGTATCGATACTGAAACGTTGTATCCGGATACAATACTCATTTTCAAAAGTATCGATACAGCCATCTAAAGTGCAGAATAGAGGAAAATGCACTTTCTGAACACTGTGTGATTGAATAATTCTGTGCATTTTTCAGTTTCAGACAATAAGACTTTTTTTTCTTATTGTTGTTTTT